TCGGAGTTAAGGGCATCACGTCTCTCTTTGACATTGATCCCATTTTTTGACAACGCACACGCATCTTGCAAAATTTGTAGGCATCTCTATGGATAGTAGGCCAAAAGAGACCACTTTGAAGAACCTTAAGTGCAGTCTTCTTAGCACTGAAATACCCACCACAAGCAAGAGTGGCAAAATACAAGGAGGCTTGGAATTTCACTCTTAGGTACACACCGCCTAATGATTTGATCGGGATAATACCGAAACAAAATTGGATCCTCCCAATAGTATTTCTAGATGTTAGCGAAGAAACGTTCCTTCTCTTGCTTAGAACAATTGGTAGGGAGTTTGCCAATAGCAAGGTAGTTCACTATATCGGCGAACCACGACAAATTCCCATTGGAAATGTGAAACAATTGTTTATCGGGAAATGAATAATGAATTGGAAGATTCAATTAGCAACCTAGAAAAATGATCGGCAACCACATTGTTGGAGCCTTTTTGTCCTTTATCTCAAAGTCAAATTCTTGGAGTAGAAGGATCCATCGAATTAAACGAGGCTTGGTTTCCCTTTTTGACAAAAGATGTCTTAGAGCGGCATGGTCGGAAAACATAATGACCTTGGATCCTAAGGGATAAAAACGGAACTTGTGTAGGGCATACACAATTGCTAACAATTCCTTCTCAAAGGTGGAATAGTTCAATTGGGCTCCCGATAGGGTTTTGCTAGCATAGCAAATGACACATGGAAGTTTGCCTACCCTTTGTCCCAAAACTGCTCTTATGCATCACATATTATCTCAAATGGTTGAGACCAATTGGAAGGTTACTTCAGTATGTTAATGGTTGATACAATTACACAAGTATGTTACTTCACAAATATTTTTATTTGTGTTATTATGCACATGCAATAACTTTTGCATATTCAATGATTGTTTTATAATTTTTTTTCCCAATGGTTTTCACGTGACAATTCTCCAAGAGTAGTTCTTATGCATATAAATGGATCAAAGAGATGAGTTACTAAGTCGGCAATTTTAAATGAATGTTAAGAAATGATTTTACGAATTTTCACCCGCATTTAAGTACTTTTACAAAAGTGTCAGTATGTTACTTCACAAATATTATTTGTGTTCTTACGCATATGCAATGACTTTTGCATATTCAAGGACGTACTGTTTTATAATTATTATTATTTTTTTTCCAATGGTTTTCTCATGAAAAATCTCCAAGGATTGTTCTTATGCATATACATGGATCAAAGAGATGAAGTTACTAACTCGGCAATTTAAATGAAGGATACGAAATACTTTTGCAAAATTTCACCCGCATTTAAGCACTTTTATACAAGTTTCAGTACGTTACTTTACGAATATTATTATTTGTGTTCTCATGCATATGCAATGACTTTTGCATATTCAATAACTATTTTATATATATTTTTTTTCAATGGTTTTCACGTGATAATTTCCAAGGACAGTTCTTATGCATATACATGGATTAAAGAGATGAAGTTACTAAATCGGCAATTGTAAATGAATAATAAGAAAAGCTTTTACAAAATTTTACCTACATTTTATTAGTCTTGCAAAATATTCACTGTGTTACTTTACAAATATTAATATTTGTGTTTTTATGCACATGCAAGGACTCTCTTATACAACCCAAAAAAAAAAAAAAAATTATTTTTGTAGTACTCCTAAGTTTTTTTTTTTTTTTTTTTGAAAGATTAAGCAAATTATATTAAGAAAATAAAATAAATGATAGGCCTTTAGTCCAAACAGCCCAATAAAAGGCATACAAGCCCAAAAAGGCCAATCCCATAGCAAAGCCTAGCCTAGTGTATCCAAGGACGGAGCCAATGAAGGCCTGGGGGCACGTGCCCCCCTGAGTTGGTCAGTAACCTATAATATATGTGGTAATTTTTAAAAAAGTTTCCATATATATGAAAAAATTTATATAGTGCCCCCTCAAATTTGTAGTTCCTAAAATTATATTCTAATTTTATTTTTTCTTTTACTGTTCACATTCTTTAAATTTTTTTAGTAGAAAAAATCAAATTTTTTTAGTAGAAAAAATCAAATTTTTCTTCTTCAATTGAAACTTTTTAACTATTTCCTATTAAAGTTCTTTCATTTTTCTTTCCTTTTATATTTTAATAATTTTCTTCCTATTTGTCTTTTTGATTTTTATAGTTGTTATATATATATATATATATGTACTCCGTATTGTTTTTTTTTTTTTTTTGGCAGTGTGTTCCTTCACTTAAAATCCTGACTCCGTCACTGTGTATCTGCAAAATATATACAGTTAATGGCTAATATCATATTTGCCTTTTTTGATTTTTATAGTTGATATATATATATATATATATATATATACTCCGTATTGTTTTTTATTTTTTTGGTTGTTATATATATATATATATGTACTCTGTATTGTTTTTTTTTAATAGTGTGTCTCCCTCACTTAAAATCCTGAGTCTGTCACTGTGTATCTGCAAAATATATTCAGTTAATGGCTAATATTATATAGCCGTTAAGGAACATTCCGGTGATGAAGTCCTAGTAGCAACAGTGAGGATCCTCCTCTCAGTCCGGAGGTCTCGGCGGTGGTCTACAATGTGATGGCGAGAGGCTCCATGTTCCCAAAATTGTTCTTGAAGCTGTACAATCCAGTTGGAGAAGTGATGAGGTGATTGGATTGAAAACCTTTGTCAAAACCATTCTCTGCGATGATGGATTCCCACGGAATATGGAATTATTCCGTTCCTCCCATGCGTGATAAACCATAACTGAGAAGCATATTTTCCTAAGCATGTTAATTGGTGAGCTTATCCTCCATCGCTGGCTAATCCACAGTATCATTGCCTCCCAAGTGAAAAAGGATTTGTAGAATTTGCACCTATCTTGGATGAATCTCCAGAGTGAGGATTAGAAGACATATTTAAAGAAGAGATGGGAGTGTGATTCAGTTTCAATATGGTATAGTGCACAGATGTTTTCCATAATGAACTATAAATAGACGTCGCCAAATAAAGGCCTTGAGGCGTGCACCACAAGGGACTTTATGGCAAGTAACTTCAAAGGATTCGCGCCCTGTCAACTCAAATTTTATGTTTTTTATTTTACCTACTTGTCTAACTTCTCATGCAAAAAGTAAAGGCAACATGTGTTAATTGTCTATTCCTATTTCATTAGACTGGTAAAAGTACACCCCAGAAGAAGTGAAGTATTTTAATTGTAATCTTTAATTTAATTTTATTATTATATTTTAAAAATTTTGCATTCTTCAATTGTAACATCTAACCATATTATTATTTTTTTAAAAATTTGCATTCTTCAATTGTAACATCTAACCAACTACTTGTTTCATAAGATGGAACAAAATTCTCAATCAGCTACTATAATATATAACTATATACGTGATAGATACAAATATATTTTAAAAAAATGATGAGCATAGCAAAATTCTTATTTCATATATAATGAAACCCAAAAAAATTGATCAAATAATGGTTGATTTTTTTTTTCCTTTTCTTTTTCTCCCTGACGTACATTTGTCAACGTCACTCTTCTTAATAAAGGCCTTATGGCATAGTAATATATCATCTATCTTTTAAAGTAGATGGTGAAAATTGAGTCCTCAAAAGGGGTAAAGTGAATAGCATCGGGTGTGTGTTTCTTACCCGTGACCAAAAAAAAAAAAAAATAAATAAATAAGAAGATAAAATCATCTTATTTTATTATGTTATAATATAATTCAATAACCAAGTTATTAATTTTAAAACTTCTTAATTAATATAGCTAAAAGCACAAGTGTTTAATTGAAAACTAAAATTATCTTGACACCCATGTGATTTCACCTCTTCACCCTTCTATAAAACTTTTGCCAAAATAATTCTAACATCCGATTGTCATTACCTGTGCCAACCAAATGTTGTGGCAACTTTCACACTCAACCTTTGTGACATTTTGATGATTGAAATAATTTGGAATAATTATATTTACCTCTTTTGTAAAATAATAAAGGTCTTCTTTCTAATTCTAAAATATAATACTCTTGTTGGCTAATGTTATACTTAAAATTTAATTTTATCCTTAGAAAACTTGAAAAGACATTTTTGTCCATGTCTTATAATGGTTAATAATAATGATAATACAATAGATATAATTAGGCATTTTTAAAGAAAGGTAAGTATAATTATTCCAAATAACAAATTTCATCAATGAGTGAAGAGGTGAAATGTAATGGGTGGGCGCTTGTCCATTTACTAAAAAATTTAAGATATTGAGTAGTATTATATACCCACCCATTTATAGCCATGTCACTTTTCATCCGGATTTGATGTGAGACAAGTCTCCCCTTATAACATTCTCTTCCACCCGAACCCACGTAACGCTCTCGTTGTGGTCGAATCACCCTGCCTACCCAGAGTGAAAATCCAGACGCCCTCCGAACCGGGCGCTTAGCGTGACACCGAATTAAAAATTGGATCTAACTCTGATACCAACTGTAACGAATGGGCGCTTGTCCATTTATTCAAAATCTCAAGTTATTGAGTAATACTACATACTCATCCATTTATATACATGTCACTTCTCTCCCCTTGTAACATAAAATCACCTCGGGTAATTCACCTTTAATTCAAAAAGACTTTCCATACATATTTATTAGCTATAATTTAATATATAATAAAATAATTTTAAAAATGTCTCTTTATTTATAGTAGTATAATATAAATATATATATATATATATATATATATATATATATATATATAGGTATAAATATGTTTAAGAGAATTAGTTGATTAGAGTTGTTTATTTAACACATTATTTTTTAATATATATATTATAAAGGAGTTCCACTAATCAAATATAGAAACTTCCATTTTTATACCATCAAATATGGTAATCTTCCTTTCCGGACTGGGAGTTAAGTAAATTGTTGACTGGGGTTAAGTAAACGCGTTCACTCCCTCTCCTTATCTGAAAAACTTATATATATATATATATATATTAGGGTTCCATTACTTTACTTTTCCTTCTTATTACATTAAGGTTTTGTCAATTATTTTTATCGGTAAATATCAATTGAGAGGCTTTGATTCCAAAGTGATTTACCAATGCTTTCGGGTTTTCTGATTCTCCTTTTTTCGGCGTTTTAGGGTTTCTTGATTTTACAAATTCCATCGCTCTGTTACATTCAATTTAGGGTTCGCGTATGATTTCATTAGTGTGAGAATGGTGTGTTCTGGGGGTTTGATTGATCCTTCTTCGCCGAGGCAGTATGGCGTGACGAAACCGATATCTCTTGCGGGACCTACGAAGGCTGACATAAGGAGAAGCTTGGACTTGGAGAAGGTTTGTATAATCGTCTTTTGTCTGAAAAGGTTGATTTTTTTAATTCATGTTATGATGTCAATGTTCTGACATTTTGTTATTTTTGTGTATGCAAGTTTTTGGTTAATGCTGGGCTTTTTGAGAGCAAGGAAGAAGCTGCGAAGAGAGAGGAGGTTCTGGGTCGTCTTAAACAGGTATTTTTGTGTATATAAGTTCTGGGGGTTTGAGTTTGGATCTTTTCTATTAGTTTTTGCACTCCAATCATGTCCAATCCATCATCCAACAATTATGAACGTGTCACATCTTCACTTTTGTTTCGATTTAGTTGTGTATATAAACATGTTGGATTATGACTTGAAGATACTTGAGAGAAAAACTAATGGTGAGGATCCAAATCGAATTTACTGATATAGTTTTCCATTGTTGTAGAGTCAAGTAATTTGATCATTTACATTTATCAAAAAAAAAAAAAATGTAATTTGATCATTTACTCAAGAAAAGTGCAATCACACATAATGGGTTTTTGTAACAAACGAAAACTTCTACAAGGTAATCCACCAATTAGGATTTTTGACAAAAAAAATAAATAAATAAATTGGCAATGTTTTGCTAATGCAATTTATAATCTAATTGTTAATGTTGTAGGTGTCTTTAAACTTGCTCTGTCATATTTAAACGTAGAGTTCATTGGATCTTCTTGAACGGGTGATTAGGTTGTCGTTTACGTTCCTGTAAAAAGCAGGCTGAATATTTCCATGACTCGGAGTCAAAGTTAGGCTCTAAGGGACTTGTCTCAAACCGCAGCTCCACCTGAAGAAGCTAGATGGAGATCTGTCAATAATAAATGCCAAGGATACTTTAGAGATAAACTAGAAAATCCATCTTACCCTTTTTAATGACTCCTAGCTATATTTGTATATATAGGCACTAACATCATCAATGTTTGACTTTTAGCCAAAAATAAATTCAGGGGCGTAAAACATTTTCACCGCCTTAGGGGATGCTTTTTGGAATACTCTACTAAATTTCTTAGATATTTACATGATTTTATAATACTCCAACTATTTAGAGTACTCCATATGATTTATACATTGTTCACATGCAGACATGCCATGCTACATGTCATGTAGGTGCAGTTTTGTGACATTTGCATGGCTTATTCTTCAAAAGTTGGCAGGGTGTGGCATCCTACCTTGTTTCCAGTGATCTTTTCAGTGTTTTGTGGTTGTCTCGACCACTTTTTATTAAATAGCTTCCGTTTAATGAGATTGTCCAATAGCATCTCTCTTCTTTTCGAGTCATCCATATCCTCATAGAATCCATTCCATCTGACAAGATACTCTTGCAGCATATTTTGTTTGTTTGCAAGTTGCCTCTATGTTGCTGTTATGGCTTGTGTGCTTGCCTCCCATGTTGGATCCTGATATATTGCAACGCTTCCCTTCACACATAGCTTGGCTGCCCAAACTTGCCATTTTTCTTTGTGACTTTGATTTAATTTTATTTTGTATGTCCTCCATTGGTCAGCTGTATTATTGGTGTGGTATCTAGGTCTCTTTAAAGGCCAGGATCGTCTTCATAATTATTATAATTCTAATGGACTTCCAACCTAATCAGCTGCAAGCGCCATGATAATTGCCTCTTTACCAAACCTTGGCATACTCTTTGAGTGGCCATTTTCAGACGCCTTTTCAATGCACCTATCATGGTCTCTTTGTTTGCCATGGAGAGGATCCACTTCCTCATTGCTTAAGTCATCCTCACACTCGAGGACGAGGATGGTCTTGTCCGCTTTGATCTAATGTGCCTTTGAATTTCTCTCATTTTTTTTTGGATAGCCCCTTGATACGTGTTTCCCTTCACACCTAATACAATACTGAGGACATTCTTGCGCATCACAGTTTGCATGGCGCTAGATGCACTAAAATTTTAGCTTGTCTTTCTACCATTTCATTCTAACTTTTCTTGACAATCTCTCGACCTATGATTGCCATCACAACAATGCATTTGAAGGCATCCTTACCATGTATTAAAGATTCCATTGTTTTGTTTGGTTTGGTTTGGTTCAGTTCTACAGTTCCAACGGTTAGGTTCCGATTCTAATTTTTAGGAACCGATGGGATCGGTTCAGTTCTGATTTAGCCTGACAGGACCGGATCGAACCGCACCGCGTGCACCCCTATCTGGAATGAACTAGGAGTAAGAGAGTTGAGTTAACAAAATATTGATTCCTACCAGATGTAGTTAGATTACCATGGTTTTAAGTTTGGCAACGTCGAAGGAATGATTTTATTATTAATTGTCTGGGTTAGTATTGGCTGATAAATTATGACACACCATATTAATGTTTAAAGAATTTTAGAAATAATGTAAATGTATTAAGGAACAAAAATTAAACTGTATTGATAAATGGATTAACACACAATGTGATAAGTTGTATGGTTGAATAACTTCAGTGGTGGCTGATTTGCGGTATTATGCCCTTATTAATGTTTAATCAATTGTGGAAGTAATGCAAATATATTATGAGTAACAAAAAATGAACTGGAAAAGACAATCAATGACTGGTTGTTTAGAATTTGGGAAAAAAAAATGTATACTCAGTGAATTATATATATCTGACCTCTTTTTACATTTCAACATATCAAGCATGACATTTATTCAGCTATTCATATATTTACATCCAGCCTAATCTGTTATAGATATTTCTCATTTATAGACTCTGAATTCATAATATATGTTCATGCTTATTATCGGTAACATTGTTTTGTAATATTTTAGATCGTGAGAGATTGGGTGAAGCAACTCACTCGCTTGAGAGGTTATACTGATCAAATGGTGGAGGATGCAAACGCTGTCATATTTACTTTCGGTTCTTATCGACTTGGGGTAAGCATATTTTTGTTTGCTTTTATCTGTGGTGCTTGGCCTCCCTATTACTCTCCAGTTATTTCTGTTGGATGGGTATACAAAGGTTAATTTATTTTGTATCGAATACAATACTTGACATATGCTAGCTATTCGAGAGATATCGTTGAAATATAACAGTTATTAGGTATACAACTTGGCTGGTTCTGCGGGTTTAGGGTTAGCCTAGGCTCAACTCAAGGTATGAAGCCTTCAATTCAACCTCCTCCAACCCCATCCCACGTGCATACTCAAATCTTTGAACTCCGGTTGTGTTTGATCTGAAAAGATCAAGTTGGCGTTTGGGTTGGTTAGGCTATACAAGTGCTTGGCTTGGATTCATTGCCGTGACTTGGCAGTTATGTGTGATAATGATTTGCTGCATTTATGAAATTTGGTTGTACTGCATATGACTCAATCATTTGATAGGTAGATGGTCCTGGAGCTGACATTGACACCTTATGTGTTGGGCCATCCTATGTGAATCGAGAGGTAAACTATGAATTTATGTTAATTGTTTTTTTAATTATTGTTATGAAGCTTGAGCCCTGATTCTGTTACTTGTTGATCCATCTAATGCTGGCTCCTCTTATCAGGAAGACTTCTTCTTTATACTGCACAACATTTTGGCAAACTTGCAAGAAGTTACAGAATTGCAACCTGTCCCAGATGCTCATGTTCCCGTTATGAAATTTAAGTTTGATGGAATATCAGTTGATCTTCTCTATTCAAGTATTTCCGTTTTGGTTGTCCCAGAGGTGAGTGTTATTTGAATTATATTTAATATGCTTTAATTTTTTGAGTAACCTTATTCAACATTATTTCTTTTTCTGGTAGTGTGAAGATGGAATTTTGATGGAGCATGACCTTTCAAAATGCTTTTCCTTCACTGCTGCTCTTTCTTTCTTCCTTTTTCCTTTTAACTTGAAGGGTGGCATGTATGTTGCATTCGATATTACATGGACTTTGCTCTATTAAATGATTGAAGTACTCTTGTTGGACACTCTACACTTTGATATGGGGTTATGAAATATGTGTCTGACACGTATGGTTGGACATTCACCTATCTAGGGAGGTTTGGTATGGGATGGGGAAGCCTTTTGGTTTAAATTGCATTTCTTTTGTGGACAAGTTGTGGGATGTGCTTAAAGATAGGAAAAAAACATGTAAAATATTAAGAGTTTTTTTTATATATATATATAGGTTTGGGTTATAGTTTATATATGTCATGTATGTGAACAAATCATGCAAGGAGGAGGAGAACCCCTTCCTTGATCTCTCCCCGACTCCTTGTCCTTGGGTTTACAAATTCAAACATTTAGCTATACCCTAGCCTGATATATGTACATTTAACATAGGGTGAACTTCACCTCTCCTATCTTTCGCTCTTTTTTAATTACTTGCAACTTTCTCTTCCACACACACTTTCTCTCAACAAAATCATCCGACTTTCTCTATATATTTCAACAGAATAGGACACTTAAATTTGAGTTTTTTTTACGTGATTAAAATTTATGCCTCAATGGAAGAGAAAATGGGAAAAAACTTTATATAATCAGTTTGATTCCAATTTACTGACTTGTGTTCTTTGGTCACTTCTGCTCCATTATCTTAGCAAGTTTGTTGGTTATGAACTATGCTAATACACTTTTATATGTGGTAACTGATTATTGAACAGGACTTAGACATCTCTGACGTCTCTGTGCTGTACAATGTTGATGAGCCAACTGTTCGCAGTCTTAATGGCTGTAGGGTTGCGGATCAAATTCTTAAGCTGGTTCCAAATGTTGAGGTGATTATTTTGAATTCTTGCTAGTACTTTCTTCAACCTCATATTTTTGGAAAATAGATCTTTTATTTTTATTTTTATTTTTTTATCAGTTTAGTCTTTTTGATCCCACACTAACATCTAAATTATTTTCAATGTTAGAATTTCCGCATGACACTCCGATGTTTAAAGTTTTGGGCTAAAAGGCGTGGTGTTTATTCAAATGTAAGTTTGTTATTTCTTCCAGTGGTATTTTTCTCATATGAATCTCAGGTTATTGTTCTGATTTTTTCTTGTCTCCTGTTTTCTTTAGGTGACTGGATTTCTCGGTGGTGTGAATTGGGCTCTTCTTGTAGCCCGGGTGTGTCAGCTTTATCCAAATGCATCTCCCAGTATGTTGGTTTCCCGATTTTTCAGGGTTTATACACTGTGGCGTTGGCCAAATCCTGTGATGCTTTGTGCAATAGAAGAGGATGAACTTGGATTTTATGTGTGGGATCCTCGTAAGCATCCTCGGGACCGAACTCATCATATGCCAATTATTACGCCTGCTTACCCTTGCATGAATTCTAGCTACAATGTCTCAGTGAGTACTCTTCAGGTTATGATGGTGCAGTTCCGAATTGGTAACAAGATCTGTGAGGTAAGAACATGGAGAGCCTCCTTTCAATCTGTTCATGCTGTATTAGTACACCTGCTCTCTACTGATGACCTCTGCCATTCTTTTTGCCTGCATTCAGGAGATAGAGCTGGGCAAAGCCCAATGGAATTCTCTGTTTGAGCCATATTTGTTCTTCGAAAGCTATAAAAACTTTCTGCAGGTTGACATAGTTGCAGCTGATGTTGATGACTTGCGTGTGTGGAAAGGCTGGATTGAATCCCGGCTAAGGCAGCTGATATTGAAGGTAATGCCTTTTCCCTTTTAATTGATCGGGAAAAAACCACATTTTCCCTTTTTTATTGTTAGAAAGGCTTTTTTTAATGTTTAAGTTTGTGCCTCTCTGTCCATATGGGTTTTTGGTAAAGATAATAAAAAGAAGCTAGTTCAACCTTCTCTCTATTTTACTTATTTATGTTCTCAACGAAATGTTTGCAGATAGAGCGGGACACATTCGGCAAGTTGCATTGCCATCCGTATCCAAGTGTTTATGTTGATACTTCTAAGCAGTGTGCCCATTGTGCCTTCTTTTTGGGTTTGCAAAGGAAAGAAGGAGAGATAAGTCAAGAAGGCCAGCAGTTTGATATTCGCCGGACGGTTGATGAGTTTAGGCATATAGTGAATATGTACATGTTTTGGAAGCCGCAGATGGAAATCTATGTTTGTCATCGTCTTAGACGGCAGATTCCGTCTTATGTTTTTCTAGATGGTTACAAACGAATTCGACCACGGTTCATGAGTCAGATGGAGCCTGAAAAATCATCTAAGCAGTGTTCGCCAGATGGTGAAGTTCACACGTCTGGATCTGGTCAAAGACACCTTAAGAGGAAAAAGGATCTTGAAGGGGTAGACGTGAAGCAAGAAAGTCTAGCGAAACGGCAATTGATTAGCCCCCAGAGGCAGCATTCAGTTTCTCCTGAGATTATTAGTCACAGGTTTTGCATTTCATCTAAGCAGTGTTTGCCATTGGGGCTTATTAGAACAAAAGAAAGTGCGGAAATTAATGGAGAATGTCAGGTTGGCATGGTTGATGTGAGTGATAGTGTCTCTATTAACGGGGAGAATGCTGAGGCTGGGTCTATCCAGAGTGAGCCACAGAGAATGAGAGGTGATGAAGATTTCTTCCTAGAGGTAGTCAAATCAGATAATGAGATACCATGTACTAAAGATGCTGAGGCTGGATGCCTTTCAGATTCAAGTGTTGTCACAAACCTTACTAGTGAGATCAGCTGCTGTGAGGATGACGGATTTGAATCAGTAGTTTGTAGAAGCGAGGGGAACGCAGTGAGTGTGGCAGGGAGTAACAACCAGGGAAGACGCAAGGCAGATTGTGAATTGCTTCTGGGTAATAGGTGTGACAATGGCTGCAGAATGTATCAAGATAGATTGCAGGGAGAGTTAGAGGTTCTAGATTTAGTTTTCCGTATTCCCTTCACTTTTTCAGTTCTTTCCATAGCTCTTCTTTTGTTGTTGCGATTTTTCAGTCATGCCTTGGGCTGATATGAACTCTATCAGGGTCATTGCTTGGTTGAAAGATTGACCATTAACTTGCATGTTCTTGTGAAAGTGATTTATCTTGTTTTATACCGACTTGCCAACTACCTAATTTTTTTTGTTGCTTTTGTTTGATGAAGCCAAATTCTGCAGTTGAGATATTGCTTAAATCTGGGAGTGGAGTGAACTCAAAGCCTGTGGAGACGACAGTGATAAGGCATATGTTCTGAAATCGAAGTATTATTTCCTGAATTTCTTTAATTGTATCGGTTGTGTCTATATACTGCTTTTTCTTGGTTTGTTTTGGCTGTTTTGTAGTCGGTTGAGTCTGACATCGACCGCATGAAAGATCAGAAGGCTGGACCTGTTGGCATGATTGTTGGAGAGAGAGAGAGAGCCAGCATTCAGGTAAGTACATCCATTAATTGCTGGCTTTCAGTCTTAATTTTTTTTCCAGGCATGCTCACATTTTATCCGACAGATTGGAAACCAAATGGTAGCAATCTGAAGAGCTCTGGGATTTCACTTTGATATTTTATGTACAGTTATAGGATTTTTTTGTTTTTTTTAAAGTAATTAAGTAGGCTAGGAAGTGTCCTTAAAAAACATGTTGGGTACCATGTTTATGTAGTCCAATTTGATGACTGCAGGGGCCGGAGTCGGTCGTTAGGAGTAACTGTTTCCATATTTTTATTTTTATTTTTTTGTGTGTACCCCACAGCAACCTCCTTTTGTACATTTGCTGCCTTGATAATAAAATAAAAAAAATAAAAAATAAATAAAAACTCAAATTACTCTCTCTCTCTCTCCCTCCCTCCCTGGGTGTGTGTGTGGCTTGCATCGTGTTGTTGATTCTCTCCCCACTGAAATGGTGGTCATACAGGGGGGTCACTACCTAATCCTTGGTTCATTGAGCCCATGACCATGTTGCTGTGATTTTAAAATTTTGAGATCGTTAAATGCTCCTCCAGGTGGGTAAATCTGGGCACTGGTCCGAGAGTACTACTAAGAAATTTGGCACTCAGTTTTTTTCACTTGCCGATCTTTATTTCGGAAAAATTAAAATAAGAAAAATATATTCATTGCAATAAGAGAGCCCAGATGGAAATGTAGTATTTTTGCTGAGGAGATTAAAAAATCCTCTTATTTTGCTACTTACAAATACAACATACTGTTTATTCGATGTTTGGCAAAGATAAAGAGTCTATAGGGCGTGCCGTGTAAAATATTTTCAACCTAAATTTTGACAACCCAAAGAAAAGTTTAGCTAAAAACAAATTGGTTGAGCAAAGAAATCTGTAGAAGAAAAAAAATCATTTCACAAAAGAATCTGAAAACTGGGAGTTGAAATGTCATCCCACATCATGTAGTATGGCCAAGTAAACAAGTGCATGTATTATAAATTATCCGAACTCTTATTTGATTTGTGGTTATTAAAATATCAAATCTTTTCTTTCAAAGAATAAAATTATGAAATCAAATATTACCACCTCATTAGAATTTCCAATTTTTCCTTTCAAAACATGGAATTATGAGAACAAATATGACGGAATAAGAGGTTTGAAGTTGAAACAAAATTACCTCGTTAAAACAAAAGCAGTGGCAAACGTGACCACATTCTACAAGCTTCTCACCATATTCCTTGTACAAAGTATTTATTTCATATTAGCCGATATGCTCCATGCTCTACACCAACACCAAGCCTATACATTTACCACATTCCATCATCACGGACTGACGGACAACATAAGGTTAGGGGTATGGACGGATTTGTGAAGAGCTCAGTGAGGGTATCCGCCCACACTGAAATTTTTTATTATTACATTTTATATTTCTAACTTTATAATTTTTTACATTTATATTTATAAAATTTTAAAATTACCCCTAAAGAAATTATGAAAAAACCCATTTATATAAATTTGTCCCCCTTCATGTAAATTTCTAGATCCTTCCCAGGTTAGGGGATTAAGAATGAATTTTTTTAATCATTTTAGGGGAGCAATAACAATATTTTACTGGTATATAATGAAAAAGGGCAAAAATAATAAAGTATATTAATTAAAATAAATAAATTCAGGGGGCAATTTATTTCCCCCGTCCCTTACTGTAATGCATTACAATGAACTAAGTGAATCACTTCTCCGACATAAAATATTTTTTGGGGAAATATATATTATCTTTTACTTTTCATTATTTGATAAAAGTTCAGGTAAAGTTTGAAGACAGAGCGTTAAAAATTTTTCAAAAAGTTATTTAAAGTTAGTACAAAGTAAATGCATTTGCTTTCATTATGAGTTAGTGATTGGCCAAAGACCAATGGTCTAGGGCCATGTAATAATATCTCGCCTGTAAAACAGAAAAATGAAATTTTTAGATGGCATCCAAATTGGTCACATAAGTTTCTAAAAAAATTGAATAAAACGTACATTTTTTTTATTTTTTTTTTATTTTATACAATTACAGACTGTGGTTGTACATGTAATAACACGTGTGTTTGTGTAAGGTGTTTCAATAAAGTAATTACTTGGTGAGACCTTGATCGGAGACAATATGATGGTGGTCCATCCGACAAATATACAATATAAAGTGTACTAGAAATGATAATAGTTTGAAAAAACGGAAGGAATATTACAAAAAATTCTATATAAAATCATCCAAGTGTTATGCGCATATACTATTTCTCACCAACATATATACATGTATACATATATATACGTGAAAAATGGTAGGGTCACGGAATAATTTTTTTCGAATAAATCCCGAATCTGACGTATTTTTATCCATTTCATCTACTTACACAATTTTAAAAAAAATATTATTTAACACGTGATAAATATAGCCAACCACGTTAAATTTGATGTTAATTTGGGAATTTCTTTTAAATTCCCCTATCATTACACACATGTATATATATATATATATACACACACACACACAAATGAAACATATTGATTGTCTTTTGACTAAAGAGAGGGGTCTGTATTCTCTATTGGTATGTATGTATGCATGTATGAGTAGAATTTCTTTCTTTTGGGTCCAAATGTGAATGAATACAAGTTGAAATTTGTGAAGATTGGTTTTGTGTCATCTCCACTATCCAGGGTCACCCAAAATAGATATTCATATTTATTTTTAGTGTCTATTCTACAACTAATTATTGTAGAAGAATAATACCCTCGTCTTGTGTCCATTTTACTGTATTATTTTGGAATTTTCAATTTTTTTTTTTTTTTTAGGTTACTTTTGGATTAAGAGGATTTAAAATTTTAAATGAATAGATTTTAGTCTACTTGTTTGAAAAGTATAACTAAAATTTACATTTAACTTTAAATAAATTACACTTACCTCCCCTATTGAATCCCTAAACAACAGAAACCTTCCCTCTATTTTTAAAAACAACACTGACTTTCCCTGTAGTTCTGGTACTGACCTCTCCTGCCATAAAATCCGTCAGCATTGTCCATTGATATCGTGCTTGAAATTCTTTTTTCCTAAAGGGTTGAAAAGACATTTTTATCCATATGTTGTAATGGTAATTAATAATAAAAATACAATGGGTATAACTATTATTTAACACATTCGGGTCGGGTCAAAGTCAACACTCAATAGGGAGGGCAGTATTATTTTTAAAATTATACGAAAGATCCCTATTATTTAGACATTCAACAAGGAGGTCAGTTTAATTTGCTCCAATGCAAGAAGATTTTTATTGTCCTTATCAAACATGAGTACGCCATGACTACATCAAAAAATAATAATATAATTAATATATATTATTATATATATATGTCCTTTTTAACCATATAATTACGAATAAAATCATTAATTTGGAGTTTAGGACTAGATGTTTATTAATTTTCTTTTCTTAAATTTTAAATTATTTTTCTAATTAATTCATTATATATTTAAATTGCATTAAATCCGATTCTCCAAAAAGATAATTACAAAACTATCCTGCCATATCCTGAAAATGTCCCAGGCATATCTTTGTTGTGTTCATGTTATGTTCCAGCCGTGCTTCACTAAGAAAATAAAAAATTCAATTGTCAGGATACTTCTAGTCATATTTGACACATATTGGGGTCATTTTTGCATATTCAACAAGTGTCTGAGTATCAGATACTGCTACGACATCCTAAGTAGGGTGGCAACGAGGCGGTTTGGAACAAATATAAAATAAAATATTTGGATAAAATTATAATTTATCACTATAAACAGAGTAAACGAGACAGGGTAAGCCTCCAATTTTTAGCTTCCGAGCCCTCTTCGGTGAGTTGAACTCAAAACTCTCATTTTCTTTAACGGACAGAGAGGTGAGCAAAGGTGGGCTGTAGCCCACCCAATTTTTTTTTTTTTTTTTCACTATACTAATATTAATGTAGCCCAAATATATATATATATATATAGTATTAGCCCACCTTAGCCTCTCATCCAAGCATGAAAGGTGTTAAAACAACAATGCGTAACAGGAGATGAATTTCTTACTTATTGCATGACCATTAATCTTGAACGGGAAATTGTTTAGAAAATTGACTAGGAATCTATTATTGACGAATTTGATTCTTTAATGACTCGTCGAGCACAACATATTTTGGCCTCTCATCCAAGCATGAAACATGTTTTACGATGCGTAACTAGAGATAAATTTCTTACTTAATCTTGAACGGGAGCTTGTTTGGAAAATTAACTAAGAATTTATTATTAACGAATTCAATTCTTTAAAGGCTTGTCGAGCACAACATATTTTGTAATATTTGAATTCAAATATTTATCTGAAATCCTGGATCCACCTTGGGGGTAACCTTTTTTTATCTGCACTCGCAACCATGCCAATTTTCAACCCTACCTCGTTCCTGCTCTAAAACCATTTAATCATTCCATAACGGTTTTAAACCCGCGGGTTGACATATATGTTTCACATATAAACTGGGACCAAGGAAAGTGAGTATCAGTAAAAAGTGGTAAATGGTCTTTCTGTAATTAAAACAAAGTACACACCTTATTAATAAACTAAGCCGTGACCAAAACCATTTTTATATTCCTTCAAATATAAGAGTTAAAGCGCCAAAAAAATAATCAGTAGAAGAAGAAAAAGGAAAAATAGGGAGAGAGCTAGAAATTGATTTCAAATGGCAATCGAGTGCTTTCTCTCTCTAAACCTCCTCCGCCGTATACGGCGGAGCCACCTCCGATTCCATTGGTGGAGACACCATTTGAGCTCCGCTTTTTCCACACCTTGATAGGCGTCCATGGACCGATTGCGTCTTTCGACTTTGTTACACGATGTATATACACGGCACACAGGGTTAAGCCAGGCAAACACTGCAAGTCTATTTTGTGCATGCGTTGGAGATCAGATTCAGATTAGCTTTCACAAGGCAATATTCAGTACTTCTCCCTCTCTCTCCTTTATTTCTCTTTCTAAAATTTGATATATTGGTTATGTATACTACTAACTCTATGGGCTATGCTTTTTCTAGTTTGAAATTTTGATGTTTTTCTTATTAGATTTTAGTTCTATATGTGTTAATAGATGATTGATGATATTTGGATTGTGTAGGTTGTATTGTTAAATCAGGTTTTATTTTTAGTGATACGAGTGAATTTTCATGATTTTATTTACAACTAATTTATTAGGGTTTTTATTGCTATTTTTATAAAATTCCTGCTATTTGGCTTGTTAAATCACTGGGAAAATTCCTTCCTTATATAGAAAATAATCTCTGACAATTTCCAGGAATTTGCTTTTCCTCCATTCATCTGTTCATCTGGAATTCTATAGCTCTGTTTCTGTTTATATCTGTATTTGTCTTTTCTTTTGAGCATTTTTTTGGGGCATTTTGAATTATATAAAAACCGATATGGTCTGAATATAGAACACTTTCAAAATTGATAGTTAACGAAGAAATAAGGTAAGTAGACTAGCAATGAGAGAAAGAGACAAGAAGAGAGGGAGAGAGAGAAACAAATGGAAAACAAGATTAGCGGAAATTGCACTGTAGATCAGTAGATGTGAAACAAACGGAAAACAAGATTAGCATATGGAATTCTTTGAAACAAGTAGGAGATATACTTCTGATTTATATATGCATATGGATGGAATTACTCAAAAAAAATTTAGAAGAAATAAACTTAGAAGTACACTATTTTACCTTTCTTTTTTGTAGCCCACACACAGACACAGATATATAAATATATACATAAATACATACATATTTGAATGACATGTATATGGTTAGTGTTGTGTGAAGGTTTGTTATGGATACGGTGTTTTTTTTTTCTTAGTTGATTTTCGCACACACATGTCTTCACTGAGGCTCGAACCCTTACTTCCCTTTGAAAAATAAGAGTATGGTACCACTGGCCCATTTATTTATGGATATGGTTTTAGCTTCTGTTTTACACGGTTAAATTATATGGGCGTGTTGACTCTTGCGTGAATGAAGTTATTTGAACTATTGTAAGAGGATATGTGTATATGTTTATGTGTGGGTGTTCAGGCTCATTTCCAGTATATTAGCTCCACCCACCTATTTTTTATATTTTCTGTCTTATAAATATTTTAATTGTTGCCTCTTTGGGGACATCCGATAAAATTGGAACCATACAGAGAAGATTAGTATACCCCCTGCGCAATGATGACACAATTCGAGAAATGGTCCAAAATTTTAAAATTACTAAGATAAGAGGATTTTAATTGTTATATATGTATATATAATATTATTATATTATAATAATGTTTTTTTTTATTATTAAGAAGTTGATTAGGTTTTCTTAACCAAAGATCATGGTTTGACATTGTTGTATGTGTTTCACCTATGATTGAGTGTTCCAAGTTCACCCGTCGCATGATAAATTCATGCATCATCGTCGTCGTAGTTGTCGTCGTCATCGTCATCCTTACCTTTATCCCCAATGAACGGGCCAAGCCACATGAATTCTCTTTTTCCATTCTTTCTTATCATATACCACGTCTTCTCTTAGATTTAGTTTTTTAAAATCGTTTTTAATTACTTCCTTCAATTTAAGTTTTGGTAGGCTTCTTTGTCGTTTACCTTCTAGGCAAACAACTCTTCTTCTTCCAACCGGCACATCATCAGATCTACGTTAAATATGTTTATATCACCTAAGTCTTCTTTCTCTAATTTTATCATTTATAAGCGATATACCTAATGTTCCCCTCATACATTCATTATTAATCTTATCATTTCCAATTACTTCTATCATCCAATGTAGCATTCACATTTCTGCTACATAGATGCATTATTATTGTGTCTTTTTCAATGTCCAACACTCTGCTTCATAGAATATAGCTGGTCTAAATAACCTTTCTATAATCTATAGAATTTTGCTTTTAATTTATTTGGTATTCTTTTGTCACGAAGGATACCATTAGCTTGTTTTCATTTTGTCCACCTTACTCCAATCCCACTAATTACATCACCATTTATCGCCCTATCTTTTTGTAAATTTGATCCTCTGTAACGCAAAATAGCTATTTTGATTAACTTTTTGGTTCTACAATTGTGATATTTATATTGTCCTCATTTATTATTTGATCAAATTTACATTCTATATATTCTGTTTTTGTTTTACTAATTTTTAAGCCTCTTGCTTGTGTCTGTGTCTTTCTCCATATATTTCCAATTTGTTGCTAAGGCTTCCCTAGAGGTATCTACTAAGACTATGTCGGCCGCAAATAGCATACACCATGGAATGTTTTCTTGAAGATTTTTTGTTATTTCGTCTAACATTATCACAAATATGTATGGACTTGACACTGATCCTTAGCGTAGCCCCACTTGTTAGGGAATTCACTAGTTTCTCCGCATGTAGTAGGAACTCTAGTCAATGTCTCAGTATATATATTCATATAAATACACACACATATATATTAAGTATATAGAATTTAGTATGCTTAATAGTGATTTGAATTACCTAATAGATCCATCCCTTTTACGTGGTGTGCAAATTACTGTTTTGGTGGTTTTTGGAATGATTCTTTCTTAAGTGAAATTTGAGCACATGAACAGTACAAGATTTGTAGGATATGGTTGGTGAGAAAGAAATTGCATCTTGTGAATTCCATAAAAGGTGTATCCTGTTTATTTTTATTTTATTTATTTATTTTATTTTATGTGAAATTGTCGTTAATGCGATTTGGTTGCGCATGCTTGTTCATGCGTAACCGGCTGGAAATAGGTAGAGAGTGAAGTCTTTTGGCTAAAAGATCGAGAAAATGTTACGGAACTTTTGTTAGGGGTCGGCGGTCTGCTATGAGAATTACAAGAAACTGTGGATGTGCGGTATCCGTATCAGTGTCATTTTGTTGACTATGATTTGGCTTTAAATTAATATCGAGATTTTGTTGATTATTGGAGTTTGTTTACTTTGTTTTTATTCATTTCTAATTTCAATTAGCCTTTGCATAGGTACACACACACACATATGGCGAGAAAGTACCATTATAGTATGGAGCCTTTAACTATTTCAAATTGTAATATTGTCCTTTTATATTCTATCTATAGTATAATATGATTTTAAAGTTTTTTTCTTACTTGACGGTTGAGCTAATCATAACATTTTGCAGGTTCTAATTCTATAGAAGCAAAGGGTAGTGAGGAATTTTCTCAACTCACTTGGGGACGGTGTTGAGGATGTTGCTATGAATAAGAAATCATTAGAAGTCATATCATTTTTATTATGTAATTTATGAAGGATTATAGTTATAATTTTATGAAAGTGTTCTTGTTGTTTTAATTTTTCCTCCCCCACTCCCTCCAAAAGTTTAACCAAATATACACACTTAAAATATTGCCCCTTGCAGGGCTTTGAATTCCTCAACTCCCTTTCAGAGAGATTTGAGATAATGTCCACATTGTCCGTATTGGATGTTATGAAATATTAATTGAAAGCTTTGCAGGGTTTAGAAAATTATTAGTCTGAATTTTGTAAATATTCAAAGATGTAGTAATATTTTATTTCCACCATTTTTTTTTTTTTTTTTTTCCTTTCTTTTCTTGGCAAAGAGGGCAATTTCAAACATGTTGGGGCACAACGGAAGCAAAAGAAAGAAAGAAAATAACAATTCAAATCACAACACAAGATATATATGCGGTTCACCCAAAATCAATGTTAAATTTACGGATGAGAAGAGATTCACTATATATGTAGAGATATTATAATAGTAGGGAATTTCAACATCAGACCATGCACACAAATTCTTGACTGAGTTTTCCGTGTACTCTACGAGACTCCCTCTCGCCATCACTGTTCACTCTACTAAACCCGTAACTCACCTCTACCATCAACGTATTCCCTCATGAGGTTACATCTCTCTCAACTCATAACTCTCAACAATAGTTTAAGTGTCTATTTATAGAGTCATATACCTAATTCCTTTGTGGACAAAGATTACAATTTCTTAGAGCCTCAATTCACGTCTCTATAAAAAATTATCATAAAAACACACTCTAAAATAGAAACTAATAATAATGATAATTTGAGACATAATTCCTAACAAAAGATTCATTCTTAATCTCCAACAAGACAATGGAAGGGAGATTCTCAAAATCCTCACCAACTAAAACCCAACTGAGAAGTTTTTCAGAGTTTGCCAACAAATGTGCCGCACTCGTTGCATCACGAGGCACATAAACGAGTTGGAACCAAATTCAAGACTAACAGATTAGGAGAATGGGAACCATTAACTACAAGGACAACATTTTTAGCTTCTAGTTCAAAAATAGTTGATTTGGAAGTCCACGGCTGAAGAAGATGTGAGACATTTAAATTTTATGTTGGCAAATTTCATAGTCAAAATTTGTTGATCGAGTTGTAATTTTTTGTTTAACTTTTGTCTCGGTCTTTGGAACTGAATGGTGAGTGCCTTAATGTTGTAAGTGAAATTGGATGATGACATCACTTAGAACAGGTATGTGAGTGAGGACACTTGGTTTGAAGGTTTGTGGTCTAGGACTTTTGGCGACCTGTCTGATATTTCTCTGTTGGAACCTTCAGGAAGAGATGAGTCGCACTTTGCCTAAAATGTGCAGGATTTCATGTTTGGTAACTTTTTGATTCCTTTTTAAACCAAACCTCTTGAGACGTCCTACAATGTTTATAAAACCCTTAAAACTATTTTGGGGACTCTCTAGGGTATTTAAACCTCTCTAATCTCTAGTGCTAGTAAGATTGGGAGAAAACACAGAGACATCACTGTTGGAGCTGAGAAAGATTTTTGAGAGAGAATCTATTTTTATATTTTTGAGAGCACACATATGTTAGAGTTTGTAACTTAGCTTCGACATAGTGGATTGGTTTCTCCCAAGACAAGAAGTCTCTCCGTGGGTTTTTTTTTCCCTACGTAAAAAGTTTGGTGTTTAGTGTATTCTTTCCTCATTTGCTTTACTTTATCATTTTACATTGTGATTATGGATGTGTAATTGTTAATTATTGTGGGTAATTACTCAAACACAAAAATGAAGCAAGAAGACCTTTTCACTCCCTTTAGGTTATTGATTCACTCCGTTTCACTAAATTAGCTAACCACTTTCACAATGGACATATCATTTTTCTACTGTCTTTAAGCAAAGAATTATTAGTCTCACATGGATTATTTGGGCAAAGAAATATAGTCTAAAATGTTTACCCATGCACACTACATTTAGAGCAATTGCTTATAGTGATTATTCTAGGCATATGATAGGGGATAGAATGTTTTTTACATGCCCGCCGCATGCAGATAAAACCACTACTTAACATAAAGTTGATAGGGGATAGGGGATAGGCTCTGGCATGTCCGCACGCAGATAAAACAACCACTTAGCATACGCATGCTCAAGCTTACATTTTTTGTTGGGATTTATATGCCCTGGCATAGCAAATTCCTGTTTGGATTAAGTGACATATGTTCCTGACGTTTCTGAAATATTTATATTTTATACAATTGGTGAATTCAATGTATTATATTTCGATTCATTATAGAATTGATAGTGTCCATTTGATTACAAGAGATATTTATATATATGTATGTGATGGCAATCAATGCATGATATATAAATAGTAATCATAAATTGTTCATAGTCAGTAATTATGGATGGACTCATAATTAATTAAGACTTGAATTGGATCCGCGTTAGGTTGAGATATATTGCGAGAGCCGTTGTATGCAATTGCTCCCTATCACCGTCATGGCATTTGACTCTTAAGCATGAGAAAAGTATAAACTCTTTTATTAATTAATAATTACTTTGATTTGTTCGGCGGATTCTTCGGGATTCTTAGACCGACACTTTGGGTAGTTATGTAATTAATAGTTAGAGGGTTATATTTTCAATATTTGCATCATTATTACTTGTATTTATTTTGTATTGATTATGGTTGATCACAAAGTAAATTCGAAGGCCTTCGTGTATTTTTAGACAAAATGATTTATTATATATTTATTTATTTAAATTATTATTTTTGTCAAACAAATGTTTTATTGTGATCGAGCCAGAAATAATCAAAGGTACCAAAATAAATATATATTAATTAAGTAGTCGGATTGATGGCTTTATTTATCCAATAACTAATTATGCATAGAGGGGTCAAAGTGTAATATTGACTTAGAGGTTATTTATTATTTAATTGGAATTCAATTAATTTCTTTTAGTGGAGTAGAAATTA